GGTTGGTTTTTCGCTTGCGGTTTTCACGTGTTGCTATTTTAGCCAGCTCGTTTTTTCTGATTTCTTTCTCTTGGCATTTGTTCTTGTTTTTATGGTGCAGTGGCGGAGAGCCTTGTCGGTGGAGGGGCAGCGAAGAGTGGGTGCGGAATAGCCATGAATAAGCAGCCTCAACGAAAATAAAACTAAAAACAAAAAAGAATCAGCCCTATCCAGCCCCCTCCGCCACTGACCCTAGAAACTGGGAGCCCAGAGCCAACAGCACAAGAGCACAAGAGCACAAGAGCAGAATGTGTCTCCGAATCTCCCACTAGTAGTTCTGCTTCTCCCTTTTCCACTGCTTCTAGCTCTGCTGACTCCACCTCTGCTTCTGATTCTGCCGCTGCCTCTGCTGCCGGCGATTTGTGTGCTAATAATTCAGCATTTCAGCATTTGTTTCAATATTTTTTTATTTCTCTTCTGTTTTTTTCTTTTCATTTTGCCGCTTTGTTTGGATGTCACTTTTTATACCCTAACGAAGGGGGTAGGGTATGACGCTTAAAGACAGATGTTTGTAAATGCAGAAAACTATAAATAAAAATAAGATATGACTATATGCAAGTCCAGATTCCTAACCAGCATTAAATAAAAATTTAATTTTTATATTATAGATATTCAAATAAATTTCTTAAAAAGCTATGTTTATGTGTGTTTTGTAGAAGTTTCTTGGGGATATTAGATCTGAGCGCATACATGAACGGCTTTCATTGGATCGATGGAGTTCCCTTAGAGTAACATCAACTTCGTTCTAGCAAAATTCTAACCTTTCTTTTTGGCTTAGGTTTTTTCGTTGAGTTTTTGCATTTGTTGCGCTTGTTTGTAGCTACTTCTTTTTTGTGTTTGTTTATGTTTTATTTTTTTACTTTGCTTCTATCATTCTACATACATTCTACACGCTTTTTGGCCTTGCCACCGTATTTTTGTTTTTTGTGTAGCTGCAAACATTGTAAATTATTTGCAGCAGCAACAACAACAGCCACACATAGTATCATAAATATAGATACAATTTATCAACTCCATTGATGAGTTTCAGGCTTAGTTCGGGCTTTGTTTGAGTATCTTTTATCTGGTGTTGGTTTTTATTTACAGCATTGGCTCGTTTATCAAACGCCTGAGACTGAGACTCTCTGCCTATCAATTGTGTAAAGCAGCTGGCGGGGGGGACATCATCACTTAATAATATTGACACTTCTTTTCATCTAAAGCATCGTAATGCCATACCAAAAGATACAGAAAGACAGAGACAGAGGAGCAACACACAATCACAGAAAATTAAGTGATTATGTTAACCGGTTCGGTATCTCTTTTTTGTGTTCTGCCACAGAATCGAATCTCTGGCTGTTGGTGGAGTCTGTGAAAATTTACATCAAAATTAACTTGTTATGGGCCTCAAAAGCAACAAGCGGAGCAACAAACGAACAGCCACAGCAGAGTGAGAGACAATTTCAAGTTTTGGAAACCGAAACTGAGCTTCAAAACTGACATCCACTTGAGAGGGAGAGACGGAAGATACTCCAGAACAAACTCCAACTCCTTCTACAGCTGCAGAGCAGCTCTGCGTTCTGCGTCTCGTTCACACAAAAGCAATTTTGTATAATTTCGAAATTAGAGCTCATCATCAGGCCGGCCCCATATCAAAGTCGTTTCAGGCATCGGGCGGCATTGGCTGTATCTTTTGGATTTCATACATACATCGAGAATACAATGTATTTTATGTTTATAGATAATTCTAGATCGTAGAATTAGCAAAATTTGCATTTGTTGATAAGATCTGAATGAACCAAGTAGCACCACACATCGGATTGAATAATGGGCATCTTTCGGATACACACACACATGAATATTCTGTGGCTTATTTTGAGTATCCAAACTGATTCAATGGGAAGCCAAAGTCTTGAGCTAAACTTTTCCATATTTTCCTGGGTAAGTTTTCTGTCTCTCATCATTATGATATCAAAACTTAAGGCCTTGGGGCCATCGTATCGCAATGATAATGTAATTTGGCCATAAATATGTGTAATTAACATTCGTCTGAGGGTTAAGCCACAAGTTAGTTCAAGTGACTAACTTTTTGACAGCAGCCATATTACGTATACGCAGAGTAATTACAGGAAATGCGTTTCAAGAAGGCAGCAGCAGATGTAGGCGTGTGTGTCTGTCTGTGTGTGTGTGTGTGGGAGTGTGCTGAAAGTTTCAATTAAGTGGCAAAGTTCAATTGCCTTACATCTCCGACTCATTTCTATCTCTCTCTCTCTCTATCTATCTATGGCTGCGGCTCTTTCCATTGGGAGTATCTTTATGCCTGTAAATCATAATATAAATGAGCAAAGTCAGCATGGAATCTATCAACATAATCGTGTGGCATCATCGCAATGGAAATCTCTAATTAAAGCCTTGACAATAGTTGACAGCGGGAAAGAGGAGAGCAGTGGGACTGCAGGAGGCATGGCCACTAAGCGGCTCACTTCTTGCCACAGACATCAAGATCTAGGGGAAACAAAAGGTGTCTGAGGCATGGCAGGGGCTTAGGAGTGGGCTCTTGCATAGCATGGCATGGCAGGGGTTTGGTGCTGTCTGGTGTGCGGTCTAGCCATGGGAGAAGCAAGAACCGAACCCCCTCCCACACACAAATACACAAACAGTTGTCGTCCGTCTGCTGTTGCTGCTGCTGCTTATCACCCTCGTTGCAGGTCCAGGGCTTATTTTCATTCATGGAGGCTTGTGGCATGTTGTATATTTTTTATTCTGTTATGGAGGGTAAGAAATATGGTATGCAAAAAGGGTTGCGAACCCACACACACACACCATACACAGCCCAGAATCCCAGAGTTAGAGAACAGGAAAAAAGAGAGGGCGATGGAGAAGGAGTTTGTATATAAAGAAGGGTCTGAGTCTCAAGTTCAAGTGCAGGTCTTGGGCTTCCTTCCGCTGATGCGTCTCTCTGTCTAGACACAAGGGGCAGACAGTAGAGGCAGACAGTAGAGCCAGATAGAAGAGTCAGACAAGAGAACACAGAAGAAAGAGTTCAAGAAAAGCGAACAGACAGACAGAATCAAGGCTTCTTTTTAAGACAATCAAGAAACGATGTGGAATATGTCGCATTTTTTGAATAAACATTAGGAGCACCAAAAGATACAAAGCGAAGCATAAAAGATACATTTTGTATGCCTCTCAAGCAGTGAGAATTCTAATAAAGAATATCCCATAAATTAAACGCCGCCAAACGATAAAGACATCAACGAAAAAAAAAGCAGCGCAGAATCTCATTTGAATGAAGATTTTTCAGCCCCAAAAAAGAGATATTCGATTGGCTGAAACGATTGGCTAGAACGTGTTGCAAATATGCTTTCAAAATCTCTAAATATTTCTTGCGACACGTAAACCGCTTAAATGTTCGTGAGATTTCAGGCTTAGGGCCAGTTACAGTTTCAGAGTTAGGGCCGCGCCAGCAGCAGCTGCTTATCGGGGCACCGCTTGACCTTGCTGCTTGGTTTTTACTCTAAGTATTTATTTTCTTTATATTTATGCTTGTTGCACACACTCTCGCAAATAGAGTGGCATGTTGCATGACTGAAAAATTTGTTAGGGTTTTTTTTTGTGTGTGTTCTGTTTGCGGAAAAGCAAAAGTTTGCTCAAGAAAAAGTTTTGTCACTTTTTTTTGGGGGTCACGTTTCAGTTAAGGGAAGGGCTGTCTCTCTCCATCTTGTTCTTTCTTTCTTTCTTTCTATAAAAACGATAAACGCTGGTTTGTTGGTTTAACAATTACGAGGTTTTCTTTGGCTTTATTTGGGGTTGATAGATTGCTGATTTATGGAGTAAACAGAAGTAGAAAATTGTTAGGAAGGTGTAGATTGAGAAAACTTATGTTTTGAGCGAACTTGTGTGTATTTTGTTCGTAAATATGATGAAATTGAGTGGATTTCTAGTTCTACTAGTTCTATTCAGAAAACTAACATTCGTTTTTTTATCAAAGAATTAACAAACTATTTTCTACTCAACTTTTAATTGGGTTTTCCTTGAAGAAAACATTTACAGGTAATATTACACGATTAATCATTCCACAGTTTAATTTCCCAACAGTCTTTAAGCCCCAACAAAGGCCTTAATCTCAAGTTTATTAGATTATACATTCTGTAGATTTTTTTACAATTCGCCTGTAACCCTCAAAAATATTTTTACGGACAATAGCTCAATCTCTAGCTAAATAGACCTCCAAAATGATAATGATTACATGATTACACTCACAAATGGATCATTCAAAGAGCCCTTAATGTCACTGTTAATCACCTGTTAAGTTTATACGCTCATTTGTGATAATATACATGGCCGCCCTTCAAAAAAAAAAAGGAAATAAATAAATACTCAAAAGAAAATAAACATTTTGGCCCATTAAAGTCACGCCCTTTGTGTCAGCCTTATGTGTAGCTTGTTTCTTGTCATTCTGTTGCTGCTGCTTTTGCTCTAGTTAATAAAACATTAGGCCAACAAACATCAGACTTACACTCGCGCACACACGCTCATCATTGGGTCAATGCCAATCTGTCTGTTAAATTTACACACGGGGCTGCACGGCCAACATGTAAAACGCCAGTTGAATTGTCAATTTATACGAAATTTGTGGCACAATTAACCGGCTAGGAGACACATGCGAAAGAGGAGCGAAATGGCGCGATTTGAGGCACTCAGATAAGGCTGAAAATGTTGTCAACTGTCAAATTTAATCATGGCTATAAAAAGAGCCCAAGAGATACAAGATACAACAGATGCAAAAACAAACAGCAAAAGCATTTTCAGAGATACAAAGACATGCGGGAATGACTTACATTATTTTGTCAGCAATTTGACAGATACTTTTGTCAGTATTATGACACACGATACTTTTGTATATTTTGTGCTACTAAAAGATAGATTATCTCCTGCTTAACCGGCTAATTATCCATTGTATCTGTATCTCAAACATTTACCTTGCCAAGTGGTTCTGCAAATGGCAGCCAACTTCCGTTTCCTGTCCTGTGTGTCCGTTTGGTATCCAATTAGAATTATTTCACTCCAGGCTGCCTCTTGCTGCGCAGGCGTCACAGCGCGACAGAATAACCACAGAACACAGCAAAAAGATACGGATATGGATACGGATGGACAGCAGAACGGACAGACAGACAGAGAACACACAAATTTTATAATATTTTAATTTTTTGTTTGTTTGTTAATGTATTCAATTTTAATTTAGTTATGCAATTTTAATACCAAGCGATTTTTGAATATTTTATTTGTATTACTTGATTATATATTTATTCATCTCTTGTGTTGTATGAAAAACTTTTTCTTTTTGGCACTACATAGATAGAATTTTAGATGCGTTTTACGAGCATAAATATTTGTATTTCATTTGCATTTGTATTTGTATTTCAGTTGCAGGCACTTTTGTTGTTGCACAAATAAAACATCTCAAAAGATACGCGCCACAGATCCATAAATATATAATTTACAAAATATTTTTCTATAATTTTTAATAGCGTAAATTCTTTTTTGTTTTTACGAAAAATTCGACGAAACTTTTTGCGAAAGGCGAAAATTTCAGCAACGTTCGTGTCGTCGCGCGGAAATGCGTTGCGAACGTCGAAAGCGCTCAACTTGGACTCAAAGTATCTTGAACCTCGACGAAACGTATCTGAATCTGTGGCCAGCATAACAGCGCAGCCGACAGCGCAGTCAGCATGAACGCAGGCAGCAGCAGACAGCAGCGACAACGTTTGTTCCATTTCCATGTGGAAACAGAACACTCATTTCGGCTCGTTTCATTTCCATTTTGTAGCCGAAACCTGCTTTGTGGCTCGCATTTTGAGTGAGTTTTTCGCGTTGAGTGAAATGCAAAACAGGTTCCATTTCTGAGTGATTTTCAGAGTTAATTACTCAATTATGCTGCCTGCTTCCCGAACCAAAAATAGGCACAGATCGTTTGAGAATTTTTGAGATTTATATTCCTTTCTGGGTGAGTGTGTTTGGGGCATGCAATTTTGAGAAATTTATTGTTTTTTATCGGCCAGAGTTCACAGGTAGATGGCAATTGAGATTTTTCATCTACACAGTGCTTGAGAGAGGGAGGCAAGAGGGGATTTATGGTTTTTGATGAGCGTGTGAAATGTTGTTCAAGGTATCCCCATGGATACTCTACTCGAAGCAGGTGGACGACTCTAATTAGATGCGAGTCTTTCCCCCCCACCATATAAGATACATATGTTCATATATGACCCTCAATCACATGAAGCATTCAATGAGTCGGGGGCGGGCGGGACGGGTGGGCATGGTAAACTCTATGAAAAGCAGCTCGCTCCTTTTGGCCAAAGTTTTCCTCTTGTTTTGAGCCGCATTAACATTCATAAATATTAATGTGACGAACAGCCATTCCGGGAACACATCTCCCTCTCTCTCTCTCTCTCTCTTTCTTCCCATTTAGCTAATTTAGTGCCTTGCTGCTCCTCGAAATTCTTTTACTTTTGCAAATTTGTTACGGTACTTTTTTTGCATGTACAAAACTGTCCAAAAGCCCAAGAGCCAAGAGCCAAAGTCAGAGCCAACAGCCAACAGCCAAAGTCAAACTCTAAAACTCCCAGAGCAAACATATTTATGCGAGTCAACGTTACCGCCTCCCGTCGCACTTCAAGACGATATACCGCAAAAGTGCCAACGAAAGAGAGAGATAGTAAAAAAGAGAGGAGAGTGTGGGAGCGGGACATGAGACATGAGGCATGTGTGGATCTCTGTGACAAGTGTCTTTCATTAGCATAAGTAAATCTTCTCGAAAATCCTCAAATTTATTTGTCAACACTTGACAATTTCATTGTTGACGTCGTTGACGTCTCTCCTCCATTGCCGCTGAAGGCGCAGCTGTAAAAAAAAAAAAACAAAACAAAACAAAAAAGAGTTGGAACAACTACAACTACAAATCATGATTTGTGTCTCTGGGGCTGTCTGGCAGTTTGGGGGCATGCCACACCATGCACACGCATTGGTAAAAACAACAGGCAAAACAAAACAAAACAAAACAAAAATCTAAAAGCCAAGATGCAGATGCAGGAGTGTCGCTTAAATCAAAGACAAATATTTACAAAAAGCCAATGGACAATGGACAACGGACAACACAGGCATTTGCCACACACACACACACACACACTTAACCCTCTCTGGCTCACTCCCTGATTTGTGAATGTCGGACTTACTTTGGCAAGCTCCTTCGATTTTTAACAACCCAAACAAAAACATTGCAATGGAACATTTCCTGGAAGATTTTCCTGTGTGCACTGCGCACTGCTCTTTCGCTGGTCCTCTACTGCTGTCGAGCTTTATGCCTGAGCAGTAAAATAATTTACGTCATATTTTATATCCATATCAAAGTTTTCCATTAGTATAAGAAATATATAATTTATGCGCTGAACTAACGTAGAAAAAGATGCATTCGTTAGGCGCATTTTGTACGCGTAATGCCCCAAGGAAATTGGCAAAATGGTTGGGCTGAAATTCTTTATGGAGGCAGGCAGTAGCTTTTGCAATAAAAATGCTGGATACTTTGCTCAACTAATTAAGCTACCAGTTCTACCACTGCTGCTCTTTTCAAGCGCGTGTTCTTTAATTGGGAAATGCGCAAGAAAGGGAAGGAGAGAATATTCTTTTGTTTACTTTTTAGCATTCCAGTGAAAAGTCCAGCAAAAGAAAATAAATGGATGATGCAGGTGAAGCAGCATATTGATTTGAAAGGGAAATGGGTGAAAAAAGGGAATGAAATATAACGAAGAGAGTCAGAGGAGAGATTAAGTGTAAGACTTTCGCCAATTTCTAGCTAATTTCATGCGTATTTTCCTTAGTTTTCAGGAACACCTGCTGTTCCAATTCGGTGCTTGGGGGAATTAGGAAACCAAAGGATTTCCCTGAACCAAAGCTAAACCAATTTTAAAAGCAAAAACTAAACCTCGTGACTAAGCGAGGTCTTTCCTTATCGGTGGCTTATCACGCCTGTGTGTCAATGTCGTCGTCGTCGTCATCATCATCGGACTACTTTCCTGCATTGTCCCTTGTCGTCTTGTGGGCCACTTCTGCTGCTGTTGCTGCTGGTGGCGGTTGTCGTCATCGTGGCATTATGGCCAACACTTCATTACCAACAAAGCCATTGCCATTCATTAACAGCTGCGGCTTTTGTGGCAGACACTGGACTTCGTCTTCGACTTCGACTTTCAGACTCTTTTGAGTTTCTGCTGTCGCCGCAGTAAAAGTTGCCGCAACGCGTTGGGGGAACGGGAGGAACCGCTTTACAAGTCTCGCAGAGGGTCTCGGGTATGGGGTTTGGGCCCTGTCTCTTTCTCTCTTTTGCCGTTCGGACCATAATGCCAACGTAATCTCAAATTACTGCAAATTTTCGCTGCTCACCTTTTTATGCGCTTATTTATTTTATTGTGCATTTTCATTGCACTTTTTTGTGGCATCTTCCATCTACCATCGCCCATCTTCAGATGTTTTTGTTGTGTTGTGCTGTAAATCTTGTATTATTTTGATTGTTGTGCATCTTTATTGTTGTGTCAATAATCTGCACCATCAATACCCAAACCAAACCGAACCCAAACGCAAACCCAAACACATACCACTGACCGTTCCATTTGCTGAGGCAGAAGCCGTGGCATTTCCGCAATTTCCAAAGGCGCCTCTGGGCCGCCAGGTGAAGACAGGTGCTCCACTGAATAGGCGTTTGATAGGAGATGGCCCCCTCTCTCTCAGTCTGCAGAGAAGATGCATTTAATGATTTGTTTTTCACTGCCAAAGAAAAATGCTGCGCAGCTTCAGGCCTGGCAAATGCCGTTGAAGCGGTTTTATCACGGCGATAAGCAACATATAAATAATGAAAATAATTTTCTTTTGCTGCTTCAGCAACTGCGATTCATAAACAAATTGAATGAGTCGGCAAACTGGAGTTCTGCTCTTCCTGTGGCATGATGGATGGATAATGAGAGATAAATTGCAGTTGTAAGTATTCGACGGGCATCTTGGGGATACTTTTAGGGAAAGTCTGGGTGTCTGGGCAAGGGGATTCCAATCTACATCCTAAAACTAATCTTCGAAAACTAAGGACGCAGTTAGAAAATCTAAAAATAGCTCAAGATACTGGATATATCGATACAAACTGATATGCAGCTACAAGTACCTGTAGTAAGTTGATAAATGATCGATGAATAGTCGATAAGCAATTAAAACAATTAAACTTCCTGTGGAACTATTCTACTAAAATTCTCGATGAATATTTGATAAAAATCGATAAGAAATTGATAACGATACCGATACTAAAACTACAAATTCCCACAATATTATTGTTCTTTATGGGTGAGCTACTTCCAGTGAAAGTATCTAAATATATCTCCCTCTCTCTGCCCTTAATATATTCCCTAACTATTCCTCAATCGACTGGGAGCTCTATCTGGCACCTGCTGCCACCTGCTTCGTGTCACCTGCTGTTCCAATGAATTTGGTTTAACAAACCCTCAACCGAATTAGGACTTGTGACAATTGCCATACATACACTCGTACATCATCTCTTCTCATCCATAGAGCACTTTAATTGTGCCTGGCACTCAATCTTTCAATCACGCCAGCCACAGCCACAGCCAGACCCGCCAGGTATGTGGCATACACATGTGGCACTGGGGGATGGGATGGGATGGGCAGGCAATATAATCTATATAATCATAAGAGTGTAGCATGTTGTAACATTGCCCACAACTCCACTCCACACCCCCTCTCTGCACCGCCCCAACTCACGCATTTGCGACATGTTGTCAACTAGAATTGCGTTCTACTGATTGAAGGCAGAGACCAGAGACCAAAGACCAGACCAGACCAGAGACCCAGACCAGAGACCCATCCTCAATCCCATCCCGGAGTCAAGGCCCCATCTTCATAGCTCAGCCATCGTTTGAACAGCGGACAAGTTGATGGCCAAAGCCGCGAAACCAAAAGCCAAAGCCAAAGCCAAACAGTCGGCCTACAAAGTAGGCAAGTGGCCAAGCATCAAGCTTGGCATCCAAAAGAACTCCTCTTTAACCAGACAGGTTTGTCGCCTGTCGCCAACGAAGAAGCGACCACAAGACTACGAGATTGGCGGCAGGGCAGGAGATGGAGGAGCTGCAGTTGCATGGCGGCTGGTGCACATCTTTCAGGCTGGCAGACCACTAAGCCGCTCTTTGCTTTTTGGGTAGGCGTCGCAGATTGATCAACAGACCGACCAGGGCCCCCCGAACCCATACCCCTACCCATACCCATACCCAGACGACGCGTCGTTTGTCTAAGACGCTGCCTGCTGCTGCCTTGTTTACGTTTTAGGGTTTGCACTGTCATGGATGAGGCGATCCAACAGATGATACGGCCACGG